CAAGAAGGGCATATTAACATATGTGATATGCAGTTAAAGCAGGATTTAGAGGGAGATTTATAATCATATACATTTATTAGAAAACAAAAGATTTTGAAAACACATGATTCTAATGTTCAACTCTACCAATCAGAAGAAGTACACTAGCATAAACCCAAGAAAAGCAGAAGGATAATTTTTTTTATAAAAAGAACTAACATGACTTAAAAAATGAAAAGTCAGTTCTTTGTAAAGTTTGGTGAGACTGATCAGTAGCCTTTCTGGATCCTGTCCTCTCACCTACCCCAGGGATCTTCTTTGCAAGCCTTTACTGTGTGGCATTTTTGATTTATTTATTTTTCCATTAGATTATAAGCTGTGTTAAGAGCAAGGGAGTTTTCTACTCTCTTTATCCAGGGCACCAAGCATAGGGCCTGTTACTTGGCTATACTACTCAACTCTTGTCTGTTGAATGAAATCAGCCTAAGAAAGATTATAATACTGGACTATTCAGCCTGTGACCTTTTTAAAAAAAATATATATATAAGGCACTTTACCTCTTTTGATGATTGTTATCAGTCCTGATGATACAGGACAGGTGGCACCCCAGCCTGCTGGGTGGAGCTGAGGGGAAGACCTGCCACTTCGCCCTGGTGGTGTTGGTGCAGGAGCAGCTGACAGAGGAACCAGTGGGGTGGCAAGTGGTGGTGGTGGGGTACAGGAGGCTCCAGAAGCCAGAGAGGCCAGACCACTACTGGGGAGACACCAGCGCCTTAGTGTCTCCCTCCTCTTGCGCTTGCAGCTTAACAGGGAAGCTACCCCCCACCCCCATTTTCCAGGCCTGGGAACCAAAGGGGTTGTATCCATTCATTTGTTACCAGTTCTGGCCAAATGTAACTATGAGGACCCATGCAGGCCAAATGTAACTACAGAGTCCTGGTGAAATGTAACTGCAGAGAACCCATGCAGGCCAAATGTAACTACAGAGTCCTGGTTACATGTAACTAAAGAGGACCTATGCACACTAAATGTAACTATACAGTCTTGGCTTAATGTAACTACAGGGGACCCATGCAACCGTATCTATGCCCCTGGACAAAGCCCAGAGAGAGAGCTTTTTTCCCTTACTTGAGTTGTTTCTCTCTGCCAGGAGCTTTGGTGTTTTTGCATTCTTTTCTGTAAAATAAATCCTGTCTTACCACTGATCTATGGTCTGTGGATTCATTCTCCAAATCACCAAGGACCAAGAACCTACTGAAGATGAAATTCTGGTATCACCGAGAAGCGATGAAGCAGAGATTATTTTACAAATTTTTATAGGTCATTTTATAAGTGAGAAAGCTAAGGCTCAGAGGACACATCACTTGGAAATGTCAGAATCAAAACCAGAACCCAGGCATTAGAGCACCGAGTTTATCGTCTTTTCCCTTACACCGTGTTCTCTGGAGGCGTTGGAGCGGTGACTCCCCGCCAGCAGGCCTCAAGGACCAGGACATTGGCTCAGGCCGTCTGCAGTACTTCTCTCAGTCACTAAAATCTCGCTGGCACTTAGTTGGGGCTCCACATGTTTGTTGAAAATAAACGGTTGAAAATTATAAAATTGTAAGCACAGTAGGAGCTATTCACCATTATGGCCTTGAAAAGCTTTGAGTCAGGAAAGTATGTGCTACTTACAGAAGGAATTCCACCCTAAATGATTTATTATTTTTTAACATAGTATTCAGAGAAGCATTCTCCCGGCCACGGAGAAAAGTAGGCCATTCAAAGAAGGTTTGCCTTTGCGGTCCCTGTGGACGAGAGACCAGGCGTGGTTGTTCAGGCAGAGGGGCTGGGTGTGTGCCAGGTGACCTTCTCAGACCAATATGTGCCCCCACCACCACCCCCAAAGTGCTGGCTCACTATAGCTGGCCTGAGGACTCTACACTGATTTCCTGGGGGCTTCACCCCTGCGCCTTGAGTCCCAGCAGCTCCTGCACCACTGTGGGTGCCCCCACCAGGGTGTCTCAAGCTGGGAGAGTCTTTCTTGGTACCTCTGACCCTCCGCTTCTCTTCTGTTCCAAGGGGCGTTTTCTTGGAGCCTCTCTGGAGCCTTTGACCTGAGTTTCACCCTCACCGGTCCACTCACGTCCAAAAAATGCTGTGCATCCTCAAAAGAGCCACTCCTGGGGTTGTGTGTATTTGTGAGGACACCTAGGGCCCATAGTGGTGCCGCAGCAGGGCTGCACCAGGGGGCGGTTCCCACTCAGAGCCTGCAGGCCTGCCTGGGCAGGGTTGAGGCCAAAGCCTTCCCTCTGGCCCCAAACAGTAAGGCTCTTAAAATTAGGTGCGGCTTTAAAATACAAATAAGACCAGTAGCTTGTTTGGAATATCCCCCAACAGGCAATAATCTGAATGGCCTTCAGAAAGTAGCTAAGCAATAAATTGTGACGTCCAGAATTGTGCACACTGCTGCAGTGCTGGGTGGGACCTGGTTCCAGATAGACCTGGTTCTTCCTATCTTGCATGCAAAGACCATCCAAGATAAGGAGAATAAGAAATCACATTTTTTTTTTTTTTTTTTTTTT